CATTTTTCCAGAAGAACTAAAAACATCATATTACAGCAATATATGTGCACCCATATTTATAGCAGCACAATTTGTAAAAGCTAAATCATGGAAGCAACCCAAAAGCCCATCAACTGAGGAATGGATAAAAAATATGTGGAATTTTTATACAATGGAGCTATAAAGAAAGATAAACTCAAGGATTTTATAAGGAAATGGATGCAACTAGAGACCATATTCATAAGTGAAATAAATCACACTCACTCATGTAAACACCAGATAGTGTAAGAACCTGAACAAGTAAATAAAAGCTAAAAGATATAATAGATATTTTGAAAAGGAAAGAAACTGTTTAAAAGGATAGAACAACTGGGATGAGAGAAAAGAGAAAAAAGAAGGAAAGAAGGGAAAAATATGTACATATGCATACACAAGATAGCAAAGATAATTGTACTACTAATTTTTATTGCTTTATTGAAAGCAACAGTTAATGTTTAATTGTATGGTACATTATTTTTTTTTGTACCGGGAATCAAACTCAGGACCTGGTGCTTGTTGGCAGGCGCTGTGCCGCTGAGCTATATCCCTGGCCAATGTTTAATTGCTTGATTAATCTTACATGTCTATATTATCTGAACAGTCAAACTGAAGATAACAATATATAATACAACAATGATTGTTAACTTCCTATCACCTTGTCTGAAATTCTATATTGCTTTTATTTCTATGTTGTTTTGTTTATGTTTGTGTCTTTGTTTATATATTTTCTTTCTTTTATCTTTAAAATACAAAAAATAAATAAAAGGTGATCAGCCTTTTCTGACTCAAGAAAGACTGTGGATGGTTTCAGTAACAGTGTTTGCCTGGTTCCAGAGGTAAATATGGCTGTTTGTTGAAGTGAGATAAAATAAAAATGTCTACGACTGGATAGCCACATAGAAAAAAGATAAAAATTTTATTCATTTTTACTTTCTGTACTGGATAAATTCCAGAGGTCAAAGACATAATATAAAAATATGAAGCCATAGCGGTACTACAAAGAAAAAAAAAAAACTAGTATACAGAAAGCAGTACAAGCATTCACATGGGTGAATTTGTTTATAACTTGGGAATAGAAAAAAGCATTCCTACCTATGATCAGAATCCAGAAACACTAAGGAAACAGATTGATTAACTATAATTTACACAAGGAGAAAGAAGTAAAGGAAATAGTCCAAAAAATAAGGCAACTCATTGCACAGAAGACTAATAAAAGGTTTCCAAGTTTTTTAAAAAGAAAGACACTCCAACAGGAAAAAAGTTTTAAATGCAAATAGCCCTTAAATAAAAAGCTTGGTTCATATATTTTAGTTTTTCCACTTAAAGAGTGCCTTTTAAGTTTTGCTTTGTATCTTAAGCATGTTAAACATTTACAAGGTTCTAAGTTCAAATTAGAAAACCAGATATATTCTAAGAGGTCTAGCTTCCATACTTGTCCTCTCCCACTCCTGTTCTTATTCTCCCCTTAATGGAGACTATTTTTGTTAGATTCTGGTTTATCATTCCACTGTTTAGTTTTGAAAACATAAGCAAGTATGTACGTATTTCGAATCCCCCTTATACAAAAGGTGATGTACTGGACATTCTTTTGTACCCTGAGTTTTTTACTTTACTTCAAAACTGTATAACTTCCATATTTGTTGTCAGCTTCACAATACTTTATGGTATGCATGCACCATTTGAAAATTGCTTCACCTCAATCATAAAAAAAACTATTAAACTGTATTGAAATATCATTTTCCACTAATCAACTCATCAACAATCCAGTAGGAGTTTGACCGTCCCCGCAATTGGAGAGGCCACAGGGAAACAGAAACTCTCAAACATTTCTGGGGTGAAAACAAAAACTGCACAACTCTTATAAAGGAGAATTTAGCAATGTCAAACAAAACGAGGTGTTCTTTTATCCTTTGATCTAGCAATCTCATTTGTAGAAATTTATGCTAAAGATGCATTGGCAAAACCGTATTTTACATGCAGAAGGAATATTTTGAACTAGTAAAAGACTAGAAATAGCCAACATATCCGTAAGTATGGGCCTGTATGAATAAGCTATAGTACATACACACACAACCAACAAGAACTATGTCCAATTTATTTAAAACATAGTACAGTGAGTGCATATCCCTAGTGGAATACAGGTAAAGAAAAAAGCATATTAAAAAAAATTATTCATCAATCATATGTTAACACTGCTATTGTGGTTTAAGTTCTTCATTGCTGTTTTTTATATATGTATATATGAACATGCATAAAGTAAATAAAGAATTATGTTGATACTATGAACCAATAATTTCTTTTTATCAGTACATGTTTGCAGTACATGCAATTTACAGTCATCTTGGGGAGTAGGTACATATACATAATAAAACTTTTCTTTTTTAAAAATCCTCTTTCCTTTCCCTCTTCTTTTAATTTCCTTTTCCCCATTCTCATTCCTGCTGATATTATTAGTCCTAGCACATGCTTGTAGCATATGTTTACATTCCTTGAGGTTATTAGGTTGAGAACCAATATTTTCATCATAAGAGGAAGCAGACAAAATGCAAAATCAGAAAGCTCAGCTTTTAAAAAGGATTTGGATTTTTTAAAAAGGCACTTAATATGAAAGCATGGACATGAGTCTTTAAAAAAAAATCTGAGCCATCTGAAACTTAGCACAATGTGCAGTTTGGAGGAGGGTTGAGGTTAAAAACAACAGAAGTTATTTTTAAGGTTATGTCTAAAGCAAGAAAAAAAGGAAAGAAATAGGTTCAGTTTTATTGTAGCAGAAAATGCTCTGTCGGCCAGCATACATCAGTTTGTTAGTTGCCCAGGTAATAGTTCCTGTTCCAGATCTTGTTGCTCCCATCTCTTAGAAACGGCTCCTCACTGTGATGTATAGCTGGTTACTATGATGCACACTATATAAACCAATCCCTATATTGACAAGCCACGCTGCCTCTGTACTTCCTTCTTGCTTATCCAATATAAGCCCTACACTATCAGAGCCTGATATTTTGATAGTGATCCCAATCAGTGCCCCTCAGTGTGAGTAACTCTGCTTCCAAATCCTGGGTGTCTTTTTGGTGTTTCTGCTTGTCACTGCATTATCTCAGATGCGCTATTTTTTGTAAAAATTTGGCTTTTCCTGTGGGCTTTTGCCTTCCGAATGCTTCCACCCAAGCATTTTACCTTCTCTTACAAAAAAAAGTTCTTGAACATTTGTATTAGTGCATGTTTGCAGTATACAATGATTGTGCAAAGTTGGTTCATGTAACACATGAGATAAGACATCTTAATCCTTTTTATCTCTCCTTTGCCCCTTCCCTCCCCCTCACTCTAACTTTTGACAAGTTAGTTTCTACCGATTCTTCAGATCAGTTAGTCATAGATGCCTTGCTCTCCCTCATCAAGGGAATGATCATTCCTTTCCGTAGGGCAGGTCTCTGCATTAATAAGTGTCCCAAATTCGTCTTCCCTTGGAGATCAGAAACCCTGCTTTTGGTCATCATCCTACACTACATAACAGGCGCTCAATAAAAATTTGAAAAATAAAACAAAGTATTTATCTTCCAGTATGTTCTTATCTCTTCACTCAAGAGACTTCTTTAGATTGAGAAGGGTAGAATAAGGACTTGAACTCCAAGAAGAGTAAAATTGTTCTAAGAAAGCATTACCTATTTGGGGCCGGGGATATAGCTCAGCTGCACCAGCGCCTTCCTGGCAAGAACAAGGTCCTGAGTTTGATTCCTGGTACCCAAAATAAATAAATACAATAAAATCAGATGGGTGATAGAAGTTACTCATCACTTAAAAAAAAAAAGAAAGAAAGAAAACATTACTTATTTAAATTCATTCTTTGAGCAAATAACTCATTTAGCTCCTGGCACTACAGTATTAGTCAATGGGGACTAATACAGCAACACTGGAGGCAAAGTTTCCGTAGGTGCTCTAACAAGACTGCACTGGGCGGCATTACAGTTAGAACACTATATTGACTGTATTTAAATCCAGTGCTAAGTGCCCGGTGTGGTGTCCCACGCCTGTAATCCCAGCATTCTGGGAGACTGAGGCAGGAGGATTACTGTTAGGCGGAGGCTAGCCTGCAATACAAAGCAAGACCATGGACGAATGAATGCATGCATGCATGAATGAATCAATCAATGAAGTTTCCCACTCTCAAAGAATTCCTAGAAATCGGAACATCACGATAGGATTGCTGGTGTTTGGGAATTGAAAAGCAGCTTGGGAACAGGAGCCGGGCAGCGTGCCATGACTGGTTCAGGTCAACCAGATGACCAAGGTTTCAGCAGCAGGGAAAGGATAGCTCCTTCCGGCTTTCTAAACTCACTGCAACAACTATTTCCCAGACTTACCATTCCTGTACTCGACCTTCTCATGACAGATCTTCTCTGTTGTACTTGACTACCTATACAATAAGATTTAAACATTGCCATCCTTTCCGAAATAATAAGCAGTTCTCCAGGGTTTTTTCGTTGTTGTTGCTTTGTTTTTCTTCCGGTACTAGGAATCAAACTCACGACTTTGCGTTTGCCAGGCAGGCGCTGTGCCGCTGAGCTAAACCCGCAGCCCCTAGTTTTCAAGGTTTAAATTCTCTCCTGCGCTCGCAGTTTACATTTACTAAAACCAGCGTTTGTCAATACTAACTCCGATTGTCTCACCTCGGGCTCCGTAGAATCGGTTTAATCCGAAAGAGGGCCTTCAGCTCTTTCAGAGGTCGGAAAAAAGGATAATGAGGTGTCTGTTATAGTTCCCCAAATCTATTGTGTGAAGAGTAGCCCAGATAAATTCAAAGCTTTAAAAATATTTTTCCTCAAAAATATGACAAGAAAGGAGCAAACGAAACTCAGTTCATGTTTCTTAGGTTTACCCACCACACCTCTTGTGGGTTCCAATTCAGCCGAACCTTCCTAGACAGGCATGCTCTAGCCACCCTTCAAGGGTCCTGATTTTGAAAAGAGGAGTTGACCAATCAGGTGCGGAGCACTGTTTGGCGCTGCCTTTTGAGCCTGGGCTGGGTCGGCGGAGGGGCGGCCGCGGTGCACCGGGCGTCTGCGGAGGAGGTGGGGGCTGGCTCAGGCATGAGGAGAGTTGCGTGGCTTTAGTGCAGTGGGATGTGTAGGCGGGGTGCCGCCGGCAGGCTGATGGGGGAGAGGAGCACCCTGTAAAACGGGGTGACGGCCGCGACCAGCCCGGGCGGGGACCGGGACTGGAAGAGCGCCCGAGCAGCCGGCTGGTCCGGACGCTGCGCTGGGCCGGGGGCGCGGGCCGAGAGACTTAGGCCGAGCTGCGCCTGCCGGGTTGGAGAGACAAGCAGGGGTCGTCTTTGCGTTTCAGAGAGAGCTGGAGCGGGCTGAGAGAGGTTTGAAGGGATCATTGGAAGTGGCCGGAAGTGAAAGGCTGGCAGCGGGCCCTAGTGCACGGTACCGAAAGAATCGGGGAGTGAAAAGGGAAGTCTGTGCAAGTAACTGAAGGGACTAGATGAGAAAAAGAAGGTTGGTGTAAGTGCAAGAGTGAGGCGTGGCTGGATCCCAGGGTCTAGGGAAGAGGGTGTGTGTAAGTGCAGAGAAGGGAGAGGGAAAGCCGTGGAAGTGGCTGGGGCCCGGGGCCGGAGGGGTGCCAGACCTGGCCGGAAAGCAGAGGAGCGGAGCTCTCACCTGAGAGTGTTGGGGAACTGGAAGACTTGGTGGCGAACAAGAGTCAGAACCCAGATCTTGCCCCGGAGAGGGCACGACGCGTCCAGGATGTGGGATCAGAGGCTGGTTAGATTGGCGTTGCTGCAGCACCTTCGGGCTGCCTATGGTATTAAGGTCAAGGGTGGCCGTGGGCAGTGCGATCGCAGGAAACGTGAACCAACAGCCACTGAAACAGGGGTAAGTTCTTGGAAAAGGGCATTTATGTTAAAAGGCGGACGTTACTCCCGGTACCTTCGCTTATTACCATGTCATGCTAGAATGTGACTCTACTGTGAAGAAATGTAGTTAGGTGCATCTCAATTCGATCCATGCGATCGCCTGTTATTTAAAGCATAACATTCTTGTTTCTTTTCAGGAACTTTTGGTCATTGAGAGAAAGTTGCAAGATTTTCCAAGCTCAGCATTATTAAAATTTTGGACAAGATAATTGTTAAAGGCAGGGGGAAGGGGTCCTGTGAAATGTAGGATGTTCAGTAGCGTCTGGCTTCAACATAGGAGATGCCAGTAGCATCTCTTATTTACCTCAGTCAAAAATGTGTCTAGATATTGCTTATTTACTTATTTCATGGTGCTGGGGATTGAACCCAGGACCAAGCCACGGTCTACAATAAGTCCCACGTCTTTTAGAGGTTCAAATGCAAGTGTAAAATTAGTGACAGGTTATTTATATCTGATGTGCAAGACCACTCAAGGTAACTAATGCAGATGCTTCCTCTTGTGATCCTTAGTGTCTTAAAACTTGAATGTGCATTTTTTAAAAAAGGACTTTTAAGGTGGTGAAACTGACTTAAATAATTGCCTTGGCCACTTCAGGACATAGTTGGAAAAGCACTTTTCGTTAGAATGTGGTAAAGATATCAGATATAATAATAGTCACTTCTGTTGTGTTTTGGGAAGTAATCGTTGAGTGATAGGAATTACTGTTTTCCTTATCAACTGTCTAAGCCTTCTGTGTATGTTAGTGTTTGTAAGGTGACTAAAGGAAACTACATTTAAGAACACTGGGAGAACCTGTCGTATTTTGGGAAAATGTTAATGTTTAGGCTAAATTCTGTTTAAGATCTTATTAAGCACACCTGAATTGATTTTCCATAGCCACTGGAGAAAGAAGCCTCTAAGTACTTTGAGGATGATGGCTTTACCTTGGCCACCCTTGCACACCTAACCTCTAGCATAATGTCTAATAATTAGTATTTATTTGTTACCAAGTGCACTTGAAATAATTATTTTGTTTGGACTGATAGCTTATAGTTTATTTCTAATTTTTCTTATTCTTAAGATTTTTAATTTGCCCAATGTTTAAGAAAATTTGTTTTACACCATATATTTGTGTTAGAGTAACAAAGTTTGTCGTTTCAGGGTAAAATATTTGGAGTCCCTTTTAATGCCTTGCCCAATTCTGTTGTACCAGAATATGGACACATTCCAAGGTAAGCACAGTTCGAAATGAAGAGTAAATAGTTCAAACTGGTTTTAGAGGGTTTAAAAATAAATAGCTTGATGTCCCCATGGTTTCATACAAACAATTGATTTCATCTTTCAATATTAGCTAATGTAAAGGTGAGATTTTGAATGTATAATTTGTGTTCCTTTCCAGGACTAAATTTTAATGTCCACTAATGAGTCCATGTTTGAAAATCAAGTTATTTTTGTTGTGTCAAGAGTTCTGAATTCTCTACTGACTGTTTTGCCACAATTCAGATTAAATAATACACTAAATTATAGTCAGGTGTGGTGGTGCATGCCTGTAATCCCAGTGCTCAGGAGGCTGAGTTGGAGGGCTGTCTCAAGTTTGGGGCCAACTTGAGCTACATAGGAAGTTCAAGGCCAATCTGAACTACATAGCAAGACTTTGCCTCAAAAAACAAAAACAGAAGTAGATCACCAATTCAGTAATAATTTTGATTTTTTTGAGACATGTTGGATAAAAGACTGTAAGAAAAGAATATTTGTGCATAGTACACATATGTACTGCTTTAACTTTCCTATGCCACTTGCTCTTTGTGAATAACTTTTTGAGTAACAGCGTCAGAAATTACCAGGGACGTTTGTCTTCATAGCTATAAAATGCATATAAAGAAACTATCTTCTCTCTTACTTTATTTTCCCTCTATACAAAGTAGGTTTCATTTTTGTTTACTGTAGTCCAGTAATGTAGCTTTCAGCTAGAGTGCTTATTGAACACTTTGCTTCCTGCCTATGATTTTCCTCTATTAATCCTTAGGATTAGATGCACAATCTTACTAAGATAGCCACTTAATATTTTGCTTTTTATGTGATTTATGAATGGCTGGTTTTCCTGTTATGAAAACCTATAATAGTTTTCAATATTTGGAATTGCAAAGTGATATCCCTAGGAATAATGACTAATTCTTTGTTATAACTTTTTTACCTCATTAAAAAACCAAACCCAAAAGCCAAACAAAGAACCACATATCCATTACCCTTTGTAAGTTGGGTTGACATTCTGCCTCTATGTACCACAACTGTTGTAGCTGGAATGCCTTCTAATTTGTCGGTAGCAGTTGTTGAATATCTAAGTATCTAAGGCTAACATGGTTTGAGATTATTGCTCAAAATAAAGAAATTGAGCACACAACCCTTAAGATGAGAAAGATTGTAATAACTGGGCTATATCTTACCATTCTGAGGGATAATGTTTGGGTGAGAAAAACAGCTTATTTTTGAACATATGTTGTAGATGATAGATATTTAAAGCTATGTCTGCTGTAACAGATAACCCATGGAGGGATGGGAGATAAAAGAAGGTGGCCTTGGACAGAGCCCTGAGTTATTCCACTATCAAGAGGTCTGGTGGAAGATGAGGCAGAACCAGAAAAGGAATTTGAGAGGGAGATGGGAGGAAAACTGTAAGAGTGGCAAAAAGAGTAGTTTTGAGCAGTGGTCAGATGTGTCAAATGCTGATGCATCAATCAGCACCTGACTGTGCGCTTAGGAATGCAAAGGCCAGTCTTGGCTGTGATGGAAATTATCTGGAGCAATGAGGTGGAGAGTGTGATTGGAGGGGGGTGAGTAGAGCCTGAGTTGTGCTGAAACGGAGGCAGTCAGTAAGCCAAATCTTACATGCTGAAAGCAAGCAGAGAAATAGAGGCAGATGCAAAGAATGTAGAACTAAGCAGGCACCGTGAAGTTGGCTAATAAAAAGATGCCCTTGAAGAAGAATTTCCAAGGAGCAGGGAAGATAACAGCAAGCCTTTTATCACAAAGATTAAAGTGGTTTATGACATTAGAACTTGTGAAAGGGGCATAGTACGGGGTCTGCTCATGATTTGGGAAGAATAGGATTAGGTAAAGTGTATATCTGGCCACGTCAAACAACTTTCTCTTTCAGCTTTCTTGTGGATGCTTGCACATCTTTAGAAGAGCATCTTCATACCGAAGGACTTTTTAGGAAATCAGGATCTGTTATTCGCCTAAAGGCGCTAAAGGTTTGCATATTTTTGAACTATAATTTTTCATTTCTATTATTTTCTGGTTTGTTTTTTTTATGATTGAAATATCTGGAACATAATTGAATGATTGACAGAAACTGAACTGGGAAGTTTGTTTTGTTTTTTTTCTGGCAGAGAAATCTTTTTGAAAAGAAATTGTGTATCATTTGTATGCATCAAAAGTTTACCTCCTAACTTCAAATTCGTAGCCTTAGAAAGTACTGTATGAAATGAAAACTTTTTAGTTTTACTTTTACCTTTCTACAGAGAAGTAATAGCTATTAAATTAAGAGGAGTTTATGAAAGCTCTTTAATAGATAAGGATTAATTTATTTGCAATAAATTCTGAAGCCATGAAGATGCTCAGTATTATTGTATTTGTTTCAGAATAAACTGGATAATGGTGAAGGTGGCCTGTCTTCTGCACTCCCTTGTGATATTGCAGGACTTCTTAAACAGTTCTTTAGGGAATTACCAGAGCCTGTTCTCCCAGCTGATTTGCATGAAGCACTTTTCAAAGCTCAACAGTTAGGACCAGAGGAGAAGAACACAGCTACGTTGTTACTTTCCTGCCTTATGGCTGATCATACAGTTGATATATTAAGATATTTCTTTAACTTTCTCAGGAATGTTTCTCTTAGGTAAGTGCTAACTATAAGTCTCTGGGAAGTGATAGTTTAATTTCTCAACTACCTAAAGATTTATCCTTTTGGATAATAAGTTCCATTTCCAAATGGAAATTTTTGTTTTAAAAAAGTATACCCTGTAATTTAAGGAAGACTATACAATTGATTTCCTATTTTCCTGATGTCTTAGTGTCTTATGAGGTTCCTTGTACACAGAATGACTTCTTGTTACTATGTTTTTAAAATATTTGTGCTTTGCTTTTTAAATATTTTGCCTCCTTGCTGTCAGTCCACTAATTTTACACCTACTTGCCACCTTCTAATACTCTTAATTTTCTACTTGTGGCTTTCAAAATCAGGTTAACATGTTTAATTTGTACAGAAAAGCAAAGTGTGGACTCTTGATTACCATGATTTTTATGATCTATGCTAATTATATGGAGACTGTATATGTTTTGGTTCTCTCTTGCCTTTTTCTTTGTTGTTTTGATTTGTGATGCTGGCAATTGAACCCACAGGCTTCCACATGGTAGGTAAATCAGTCTCTACAGCTGAGCAATCTTCCTAATCCTTTTTAACTTGGTTTGACTTGTGTATGACTAATAGATTAATAAATGAAGAGGTCTTCAAAATGTGCTTAATATGTTACCAAAACTTTCTATACTTTTACCTGTTTCTCCATCTAATAAAACCTGTTTTCTCTTGTAAGGTCCAGTAAGAATAAGATGGATAGCAGCAATCTTGCAGTAATATTTGCACCAAATCTTCTTCAGACAAGTGAAGGACATGAAAAGATGTCTGCTAACACAGAAAAAAAGCTACGATTACAGGCTGCCGTAGTGCAGACCTTTATAGATTATGCCTCAGATATTGGTAAGCTGCATCATTAAGTAATAGGACTTGATTAAGTGGGGGAAATCCTAACTTCTTCCACATCAACTATGAAAACAACTGTTAGAAAGTCAGATATTAGCTACATGTGTTTGGAGGGAAAAGCAAAGGAAGCATAATAAATAGTCTTACTATGAACGTTGTTTTTAGGACGAGTACCAGATTTTATCCTGGAAAAGATACCAGCTATGTTGGGTATTGATGGTCTCTGTGCTACTCCATCGTTGGAAGGCTTTGAAGAAGGTGAACATGAAACCCCCAGTGAGTGTAAGAGAAAGCGAAGACAAAGTGTTGGAGGTAAGTGTCAGTCTCATTTTAGGGAGGAGCTGTGATTTACTTACTGGTACTTCCCATTTGAACATAAAGATGCATAAGCTGTAGTATATGCCTTTTTGATACACAGTTGGAAGATTTGACATGCATGTGACATATATGTACTATTATATAAAATATGTACTATTATATAATATATGTACTATTATATATGACATCTATACAATATATGTCATATAATAGTGACAGCACAGCATAGTATTAAGTTTTCCTGTATATTTAGTACAAACATAAAATGTGTTCAAAGAAGAAAAGTTCCCTGAGTACAAATGATCAGAGACTTGTCAGAGTAAGTCAAACTGGACTTGTTAAAGAATAAGTGGAGGGGACTTGGGTGAAGGATCAGAAAATTTGTGTCTATACTAGAAGAGAAGGTGCTGTGAAGAAAGTTGTGTAGGAAGAAAGTAATCTGTGTGTGTCTTATAACAAACCAGTGTGATTTGAGTGAAAGGTTCATTGTATGGACTAGAATAGTATGGTGAACTTGATGTCAGGCTGAAGAACTAGAATATTAACCTGGATGTAAGTTAACCATTGAAGAGATTTGACTTGAGGCATAAAGTAGTTTAGGAAATTATTTCACTGAAAGACTCAACAAAGGAACATAGGCAGAAAGGTCAGAAATATATGGCAGTAGTATTAAGTATGAGGCCATTTGTTAAAGAAACTGTCTTTCAGCATAAATTTTTGACCCCTTTGTCAGAAATCAGGTAGCTGAATGTGCCTGGGATTGTTTTTGCATCCTCTAATCTGTTAAATCACATGTTTGTTTATTTATTCGCTTATTTATTTTGTAAATACCATGGTGTTTTTGTTACTATAGCTTTGTAGTATAACTTAAGAGACCCAGATTGTAGTGCATCCTTCCTTGTTCTTATTGCCCAGAATTGCTTTTGCTATTCTAGGTATTTTCTGGTTCCATATGAATTTTAGGAATGTTTTCTTTATTTCTGTGAGGAATGCTGTTGATATTTCATTGGGGTTGTGTTAAATCTGTATATCCGATTTGGAAGTACGGCCATTTTGATAATACTGGTTCTGCCTGTCTGGGAACAAGAACCATTTTCTCATGTCCTCTTCAATCTTCTTTTTTAGAGTTCTGTAGTTTTCATTGTAGAGGTATTTCATTTCCTTGGTTAATTCCTCCTATTTAATTTTTCTTGATGTTATTGTGAAAGGTGTTATGTCCCTAATTTCTTTTTCAGTGAGTTTATTATTGGTATATAGGAACATTATTGATTTTTATGTATTGACACTATGTCCTGCTATGCTACTGAATTTGGTTATTCTAGGATTCTTTTTGTGGAATTTTTTGGGTCTTCCCTGTAGAGGATCATGTCATCAGCAAATAATAATTTCATTTCTTCCTTTCTTATCCATATTCCTTTTCTTTCTCTTCCTTGATAGCTCAGGCTAATGTTTCAAAAACTAGATTGAGCATTAGTGATGACAGACATCCTTGTCTTGTTCCTGATTTTACAGAGGAAACTTTCAGCTTCTCTTTCAATGTGATATTCAGCCTTGTATATTTTGAGACAGGGGAGTCTTGCTAAATTGCCCAGGCTAGACTTGAACTCACAATCCTACTGCCTCAGCCTCCTGAATAGTCAGGAATACAGGTGTGAGCTGCCGTGGTCAGCTCATCTTAATCATTTTTAAGTACACTTCAGAAGTAATAAGTACATTCACATTATTGTGCAACTCTCTAGACTTTTTGCTTTTATAAATACATGAATTACTCTAGCTTAGTTTTATGCTACATATAAAGTATTCAGTTGTCAGAATCTACACAGGATCCTATGAATAAGTTCTTATAAACAGACAGATTTAATCTTATAACTTTTCTGTGCTCTGCAATGTGAGTATATGTGCATACTACTCATTATTGTCACTGAGCTCACAACTTTCCTAGATACAGTGCTGAGCTAATCAGTATACCCTTATTAATGTTGTATTTCCTGGAATGAAATGTAAATAAAATGATGAGACTATTATAGAGGTTGAGACTTACTTTTTCTACTTCTCTATATACTCTAGATCAGTATTGGCAAACCTTTTAGAGGCAAGTGCCCAAACTACAACCGAAAGTTGTGATCTAATCTTGGCCCTTTATATTTATTTATTTATTTTTTATTTGAGACAGGTTCTCACTAAATTGCCCAGGAGAGACTGAAACTTGCAACCCTCCTTACTGTATGTTTCGATCACCCTTTGTATATTATTGGGCTGTTTCTGAACTTAAATAAATATCTGGAGTGATTTGGTGATTAATTAGGTAAATGAACATATTGAAAGGACTTTTTTGTGTTTTAGTGTGGCTGAAAATTAGGGACATTTTACATGAAGCTATTCCTATTGAAGTCCAAGTTTTAGGCCTGTAATATTCAGTATCTCTCTGACTATTTGACTATTTCATTTTTGATACTTTGTTTCTTTTCCTTGTTTTTTGTAATATTATACTTGCTTTCCCCTCTCTTTGGCCATTTGTTCTGTCCGAATTTTAGGATTTTCTTTTTCTGACCACCTCCTAAATATTCCATTCTTTCATCCTTGACCTTCTAAATATTCATTCAGATAAGGTCTCACTGTGTAGTTCAGGCTGATTTTGAACTCACAGCAGTTCTCCTGCCTCAGCCTCCTGAATGCTAGGATTACAGGGGTGTGCACCACCACAATGCCTGGCTTATGCCTTGTAAACATCTTTCTTTAGCTTCATATTCTCATACTTCTCATTCTTATTAAATGACTTCCTTCACTTGCATTTGTGAAAACTACCATTTCTGGGCTAATAAATTGCAAATTGACTTCCAGCTCTGATTTCCCCAAAATGGGTTCGTACCCATTTCAGCGTCTCAGAGCTGTGCCTTATTCTCCTCCGAGTTTTCGTCTTTATCAGGCGGCACCGTTGTCACACATCATCAAAGTCAGAGCTCTCGGTGTCTGTGCCACCTCTCTCTGGTTCTCATGGCCCAGGATCACCAAGTCTTGCCACTTTGGTCTCTTAAACACTCCCTCCCTGCCTCCATTTCCATCACTCCCATGTCAGCGCAGACCTGTGTCTCTGCAACCAACAAGAAATGATGCCCCCTTCTGTACTGTATGCACATTTATTTATCATTTTATTGTATTTTTTTAGAAATATGGGATTACAAGTGGGAATGGAATAGAAATGGATCCTTTAAAGTGTATAACCTGATACAAAGTTATGTATTACAAGACTACTAATACTAATAGCAATATGCATTGCTGGTAAAAGAAAAGTAGGTGTTTTTACTGATGGTATAATTATATATGCCTTGCATTTCAGATTTTGTTAATGGAGCACTAAATAAACTTAAATCTAACAGAACGCCTGCTGTTACACCTCAGCAGGATGGAACCGGTAGGTATTTGTTAACTATTTAAGTGAAAATTTCTGTAGTGGTCTAACAAAAAATAATTACAATAAAAATTAGTTATTTTAGTTAATATTCAAATCTATTAAATATAAATATTATTTTCAGTGGAGATAGTGTATATGATTTTGTGACATTATTGATTATATTGGATGTAATGAACTCAAAATTGTGGGTAATATTTTCTTTTATTCTGTTATGTTTTCAATTTTCTTAATTGGGATTTTTTGTTGCTTATAATTTGGGTTGTACTGAACATGTGGATTAGCTCAACTTCTTTTTTGTTTTAGAACCAGAAATTTATTATTATATCTTCTAATATTTTATCCTGATTTGCTTGTTTATATATCCAGCCAATAACAGACAACATGATCTTTTATTTTCCAGAGTGATAGAATAAACTGGGTAATACCAGGTTATGAAAAGCAAATATAGTATTTAAATTAGTTTTTTGTTTTGACTTTTCTTCTGGTGAGGGTGAGTTATTTTCATTTTGTTTTTTGTTTGTTGTTTTTGTTTCAACAGGGTCTTGCTATGTTAGTCAGGCTGGCCTTGAACTCACAATGTAGGTATAGGCTGGCCTCAAGCTCAGCAATCCTGCCTTAGCCTCCAGAGTGCTAAGATCATGGGTTGACTATAATTTCTTTCCCTGTATTAATATTCTTTCATCTATATTATATGCATCTTTTATTCTTTTTGAATTTTAAGTTTTTGCTGCTTCTGAGGTCTTGCCACTTTGCATGTTGTCTCTTTTTTTAACAATGTTTTAGTTATGTGGCACATTTAATAATGGAACTATAGCACCTACGTTTTTAGGTCTAGGTAGCAACTTTATAAGGAGAAATTATATCAAGCTTTGGTATTATATCTATTCTATGGGAGAAACAATAAACTGGTTTTGTTTTGTCTCGTTTCCAGCCCAGCTGTCTGTATCCCCAATGATTCTCACACCAAATGCTAAGCGTAAACTGCCAGTAGATTCTTCTCATGGTCTCTCAAGTAAGAAAAGGAAGTCCATCAAGCACAATTTTAACTTCGAGCTGTTGCCAAGTAATCTCTTCAGTAGCAGTTCTACACCACTTTCAGGTAGCAAATAGGTTTTCTCTAACTGTGTTGTAAGTATTAAGCATTAACAGTTAACCTCGGGCGGGTGTCATTTCAACCAGTTGATTCTTCTTCCCATGAGTGTATGCACGTCTGTTTGTTTTATACTGACTGCTTTGCATACTTTTTTATTTAGAACATTGTATTTGTCTTTGATGTTTGTTTTTAGTGAAATATAAGTTCTGGTCATTTTCTTTTACTAATTTGTGTTTATTTGTGAAAAATAACCTATAATTTTGTGCTACAGCCTATAAAAACTCTTATCATAAGTACACTAGGTAGAATTTTTATACCTCTCCAGAGCTGAACAGTATTCTTTTACAATACAAAATGGACCTATTTGGGGCACTGAGACTGAATAGGAAGGAAGTGCCAAAAGATCTACAAAAGAAGAAACTGAAAAGGGGAGAAATGTTAGCATAGCAGAGAGGGAAAGTCTGTGTTATGAAATGGAAAGTCAAAAATGCCATCTCCTTATTGTCAACTATTTGTAATACAGAAATGATAGAACTTGAAAGAAGAGGAAACAAACAGTTCCAACAGTGGCCCATGATTATAGTAATGCTCTGGATGGTATCGGCAGAGTTGACCAACATCTAACAAGCTATCCTATAATCAAAAGGCAAGGGAAAAAATACTATAAAATATTTATGTACCTCTGGGCCAAATGATATGGAACTCGTTTGTTACTTATTTAAAACAAAGGGTTTCAAAAAGTCAGTTTACAATTTAGATTAAGTCTAGAAGACCGAATAATTAAATATCGGATAGTGAATCATTAGCAAGTACCTCCATCATCAACGTCTTCACCTTTGTGTTTAGTGGGGAGACCTTTTACTGCACTTATGCCACCCGCAGAAAAAAAGGAAAGGCCAACACGACAGTGTAAAGTGTGTTATTCAAAGAAAGACAATAATGCAAAAAGAATTTGGAAAGGGACTACATACTGCTGTCCAGAGTGTAGCATTGAGTTTTGTGTTGAATGTTGTAAGATATTCCATACACAGAAAAATTACTGAATAAATTTGATAAAATTGTTATTTTTATTTTTCCTGTTATCTTATAAAATTAATTTTAAAAACATGGCATTTTTGGTCACTCTGTATTTAAGTATTTGGACTGGTAAGTGGTTAATGTGAGTACCTATTCTTGGCAAAGAGCTTTTTCAGATTAATACCATCCTTAGACGCCAAAACTTTATTCTATGTTTTACGACATGTCTGGAGTTTCATAAGGTCTCCTGCCTTTTAAAACAGACACTGACTCATTAAAATTTAATGATAAGAACTGTGATGTTTATGTCTGCAGCTCTCTCAGTAGTTAGAGTTTGGAGACTTAAACTCCTTTAAATAACTTGGTGTTTTCTTAATATTCAAAAGCCTTTCCAGTTTGGAAGACTTTTTCCAAATAGCAAATGGGAATTGTAGTTTTACCTGCCTCTACTTAATAGCATCAGAACGTCTTTCCCAAAAAACAAATCTATTTATTCTTTCTCCAAGCTGCCCCCAAAATTTAAACATTCGTGTGTTGTTTTAACCATAGTTTGAGTGTGCATAATCGGTGTGTTTTCTTTATTTAAAAAGTTATAAATTTTAACAGTAATCCCATTATATTTAGTTCACTATTTTCTTGGATTGTACTTTCTCAGCTACAATTTAATAAATTCCATCTGTAACATTGAAAATGAGTTGATGTTTAAGCTTTGGTGATAACAAATCCCATGCTTTGTTTTTAATATGCATCAATCCATAATTCTTAGGTTAATTTTTATGAATTGTAGATCCATGATTTATCACACATGATTCTTACATGTGTGATAAATTTACATCACTCAACATACTTTAACTGCCTCCATGTGACCACAGATGCACTTTCAATATGCCTGGATTATAGCTCTGGGATAAAGCTACCTGTGTCATGTTGAGTGTGTATGTGTTGGCCTACAATATTTTCTTTAGCCAAAGTCATTGTGATGGTTGTATCATTTCTGCTTTCATGACAAAAACAAAACAAAAACAAACTTTAGGAAGGTCTGAAGTCTTTATCAGTAACAATGATGAAGATAGAGAGTTAATGTTTGTTGGGTGTATACTAGGTGGAGGTAAAACATAAGTTAATTTAATTGAATTTCTGTTGTAATCAGTTTTTGCATGGAAAATGGTAGTGCCAGGGTGGCTAGGCATTGTTATAGATAGGTTTTGCTTAAGAAAAGAAAGTGGTGCCAGGGTGGCTAGGCATTGTTATAGATAGGTTTTGCTTAAGAAAAGAAAGTGGACAAGTTTCAGTCTAGAGTCAGGTGGACAGCAATTGGAAAAGCAGCTGTATCCTGGATAATCAGGCTCCAACTTGCTTTTTGAGTTTTTTTTTTTTTTTTTTATGACAGTATAATTAATATTCGGTCGTAGATACTATATTGGAAATTATATGTAGCAGTATTACTTACATTCACTGTCCAAAGCCATTTTGCAAGTAGTTGAGCTAACTCACCTCCTATAGCTTTCCCTACTGAATGACAGTGTCATCCCTTTTTGCCCCGCTAAGAGTTTAAAGCAGAAGAAATATGAGAGTAGTGCTTCATTTAACCTTTAACAGGCAAATAAAAAGAATGGTACTTCTTATTTGAGTCAGTTATTTGACCTCTGACGGTTCTAGCTAGAAATTATATGATTTTTGTTGTTGCTTGGGGATGGATATTAAAGCTGCTGTTACTGTTTTATACTGTGAAAAGAAAATAAGTGTGTGTGACACAGGTGTTTTGTGTTTTTTTTTTATAGTTCACTGTGACACAAGCCCAGAAGGGTCATCTCAGAGTTCACTCTCTCCTGTTGCCATCAGTGGCAACCATTTGATCAGTGCAGGTGTGCTAAGGCGAAGTAAAAGAATTGCAGGCAAAAAAGTTTGCAGGTAATTTATCGAGGATGCTTTGTGGTCATTGGATTAATACTTTATATATATATATACATATATATTATCATATGATTCAAATATGATTCTTGGTAAAATAATTTTGTCATTCTACCAAGAACCAGATTTGAATACTCACTTTTAAACTCTCTTTATGTATCTTATTCATCAGATACCTTTCATATAACCAACCAAAAAGAAATTCCTAATTTGAGTCCACTTTGCTTGCTTAGAATCCTGTATCAATGGGCGTAATTTTACAATTTCCTGTAAACATGGATGCACATATGTTATTGTGGTATAATGTTTTTAATTCTGGGAAGATACCCAGAAGAGGAATAGCTGGGTTGGGTGGGACCTCTAATCCTAGTTTTTTGAGGACTCTCCACACTGATTATACCAGTCTGCACTCCCACCAACTGTAAAGAAGGGTTTCTTTCCCCCACAGCCCCTCCAGCAATTATTGGTTGATTTCTTGATGCTAGCCAGTCTTTCTGGAGTGAGATGGAATCTCAGTGTTGTTTTAATTTGCATCTCTCGAGTGACCCATGATGTTGAGCATTTTTTCATTTATTTATTTGCCATTAGTATTTCTTCATCTGAGAAGTATATATTCATCTCAAAAGCCCAGTTTTGGATTGGGTCTTTGAACTTGGGGGGCCTGATTTTTTGAAATTCTTTATATGTTCTAAACATAAGTCCTTTGTCTGAGGGACAGCGGGCTATAATTTTTTCTAACTCTGTCAGTTGTCTTTTCACTTTGTTGCCCAAATGCCCATCAACCAAGGAATGGATAAAAATGTGGACCATTTTTTTATATAATGGAATACTACTTAGCCGTAAAGAGAACCTCAAGACTTCTGTAGGTAAATGGATGCAACATGAGACCATGCTCATAAGTGAAATAAATCAGACCCATGTATGTAAACATCATATAATCCCATGTGTGCAAGAAACTGAAAGAGTAAATAAGAGCCAAACTGTACAGTAGATATTGTGACTAGGGAGGAAACTGCAAAAAAAAAAAAACTGTGATGGGAGAAAGGGGAAAGGAAGGAAGCTGTCATGGTTGATACATTGTGTCAATTTGGGGAGTCTGGTGGCTGGGCTAAGTGACTCCACAGTTCCACAGCCTGAGGTGAAGAGGACATGCCCTTACCACTCTGAGATGTTGTTCAGTGTGTCACCTTGAGAAGTTTAGAAGGGTAACTGAGTGACCAGGCAGGGCTGGGTCCTTCCTCTGTATCATCCTGAGCCTGTGCAGGAGGAGGCATGGAGATGGTGTGAGTGCTGTGCGTCCCTGGGCAGGGGGGCCTGCTGACAATATGAGGGAGGGAAGAGGCTTGTTGCCCCACCCCCCTGTGCTCTTGCTGCTTTTGCTGTCTTGTGCCACCTTAACGTGTTGCCCCTGTGCCCTGCCACCCTGCTGTGGAGGCAGCTGATCGTAGACTAAAACCTCCACAGACTGTGAGCTAAATAAACCTTTCCTTCCTTAATTCTGGGCATCAAATAGGCTGTCTCAGCAGCAACAAAAAAAAGTAACCAAGACAGAAGGGAAAAGAAAAAAAAAAATATATATATATATATACACACACAAGGTAGTTATACAGCTAGTTTCTCTTAGTTCTTTTAAAAATAAGTTTTGTGCTGATACTTTTTTAGAAAATATTTCATGCCTATATCTTGTAGTCTGAATAACCGATGAATATAACAATATACAATGTAGTAATTATTGTTACTGTCCTACTAGCTAGCCTGCTTTGAAACTGTTTTATTGTTACTTTTACTTTTTTCTCTTTAAAATTTTAAAAAAGACACCAATTAGTATCAATTTAAGATTTTCTCTACAAACTAATCCAAGGAATTAAAAGATACCTGAAAAATTTTAAAAAACATTTTAAAAAGCTAGTCTAATGTAATGATTCAGAGTTATAAGTGACTGAACTTTTATGATAAATAAATCATTTTTATATGCAAGCACAGTGTGTTTATATATGATGTCGTAAAGCTTTATCTTCAAAAAGTTACTTCTCTGTTCAGTTACTGGCAGTATGATTTACTTTGAACTTTCTCAAGTTTCATTTTGTAAGAATTTCTTACATTTGTTCTTTAAACTGATCTTTTAAATTCTATTCTTTATAGGGTGGAATCAGGAAAAGCAGGCTGCTTCTCTCCTAAAATCAGTCGTAAAGAAAAGGTTCGAAGATCTCTTCGTTTGAAATTTAGTCTGGGGAAAAACAGAGACCCAGTAAGTGTTTTGTCATTTCATTGATGGTTTACATTAGCATAAAGCTGTAGACTTCATACTAAAAGATCCCTTCAGTCCTGCTTCTTCTCCAGTTACTGTGCCATTCTGTTCTCTTTGTATCGAGACTTTTGTCTGAAAGTGATCGGCAATGAGTTCAACATTGCTTGAATTAGCAGTCAAAAATAAATTCTCATTCAGCTTCTCCTGTCAGCAGCAAGGGGTCACTTGCTGCCTTCTGGAATACTCTCTTCCCTTGCTTCTTCGCTGCTTACTTTTCAAATTCCCTTGCAATAGAGGGGCCAAAGCTTAGTCCTTGGACTTGTCTTTTTCTTTCTCTTTATTAAGACTTCAGGTTTAAGTTCTCTAGCTCATTCTTCTAATGCCTTAAGTTAAAACCCCAGCACATTCCTGATTCTGCTTTCTCTCATGCACTGCATCTAATTCACTAGATGTAACTTAGTCTAATTCATTAGAGTATTCTCCAAACTGATCAATTCTCACCAGTACCATTTTCCCATTTTTCTAAGTTCAGTATTTTCTCATCTGGATTCTGTAGCAAGCTCCAAATAACAGGCCCACCTCCTTCTACCCTCGTGCAATACTGCAGCCAAAGCAGTCCTAAGTGAGCTCATGTCACTCTTCTGTTCAGAACCTTCCAAGGATTCTTCATTTCTTTGTGAATAAGAACCAGAGTTCCCACATTGGCCTGCAAGGTTCCACATGATCTGGTCCCGGTCCCCATCTGAGCGCTGCTCCTGGCACTGCCATTCCTGGCTCACTGTTCCCCACTCGTTGATCTCCTTGTTGTTGATTGAACATGCCAGACTGCGCCAGCCTGGGAGACTACACCGGCACATTCTTCTCCCTACAGTGCTCTTCCCCTTAAACCTTCCTCGCTCTTGCCCTTGCTCTTCTTTACTCAAAAATCACCCTGTCATTACTGTATTTAGAATCACGCTCCCACCCTTCATCGCTCCTTATCTTCCTTGTCCTGCTTTCCTCTTTTGTATAGCAGCTTTTGTGTTACGTATTGTGTCTATACAGTATAATTTATTGTTTCTCTTGTTTTGATCAAAATCTCATCTAGGCTATAAATTCCAAGAAGATACGATTTTGATCTTTTTTTCTATGATTTGTGAACAGGCCCTTACAGAGATGGTACAAATTTTATTTTTTTTTAATAGTAAATATGTAAGATTGCTTTTATTTTATAGCTTAAAATACCAACTAATATGTATAATTCTCCTTGGCAGGTAAGAATATTTGTGTTACAAAATTATTTCCCATTATATATCTCTCTTTACTCAGCTGTAGATTTTGAAACCTACAAAGAAATTACTGTTAATATTTCAAATTAATTGAGTTTACTTCTTAACCAAAGTTTTTTTAAATTATTTTTTTCTGTACAGAATGGATGTTCTGGTGTCAATAGATATGAGAATGTTGGTCGGAGACTTGCAAATCAAGAAAGTTTAAAAAATAGGATTGAATCTGTAAAAACAGGCCTGCTTTTTAGCCCAGATATTGATGAACAATTACCAAAGAAAGGTACATTTATGCAGTACTGTTAGTTTTACAAAAAAATCCTGCTTTAGTTCTTTTAGTTGCCTTTTAATGATAAAATGTATTAAGCAATTTGCTGTTCTAGGTAAAGTTCATGTTTGAATCATAGGAATGTTTAAATTGGCAATGTATTTTTCTGTCAACAATTGGAGGATACTTATACAAGAACATATTTGGTATTTTTATATTAAAATTACTTTACCACTAATCTTGAGCTCTTTGGAAGTACATAGTACTTTCATTTGCCGTGTATTTGGATTATATTTCAAAAATGAAGTCAGATATAAAGGATTAAAAGCACTGAACTGCTTCATTTTAGGTTCAGTAAAGATCAGTAAGTCTGAGGAAAACTTAGTAACTCCAGAGCGACTAGATGGAAGAAGTTACCGGATGTCTTGGACAGGACTTAGCAGTTCAAGTTTTCAAGAAATGGATGCAAATGAAGCTTCTCCAAGAATGGGAAATCTTGAAGTGCAAAACTTTTCTTTGGAGCCTGAAATTACAGTTGAAAAGTCACCTGGCATATGCTGTGAACATGCCCCTTCCACTTCACTCAGCAAAACTAATAGCAGTGTAGCGGAAAGCTCCCTTAGTGGCGATGAAAATAACCTGACCTCGGAGACTTTGGTGAAGATCCAGAAAGCCTTTTCTGAGTCTGGAAATAATCTTCACGCACTGATAAGTCACAGGCAATCATCGATAACTAATGTGGGAAAAGAAAAAATAAATGAAGCATCTTATGGAGAATGTAAGTCAGAGGGAAATCTACTTGAAACTAATGATTTGACTGTGAGAGAATCAGAGGAAAGTTATGAAAACTATGCTGTTAAAGATGAAAGTTGTTTTTCAGAAAGACACTTCTCACCACATCCAACTCAAAAGTTTGGTGGAGAAACAACTATAAAATGTTACTCAACTCAGATGAAGGTAGAACATCACAGACACATTCGCTCAGATATACAGAAAGATAATCTAGTACAACAGGAATTACCTGTTGCTGTACAAGTTAAGGACGAGCAGTCCCCAAAAGATAAACTAAGTACTTGGTCAAAGGAGAATGAGAATAGGTTTGAAGAGAACTTAGTGAAATGTGCAGCTCCCAGAGAGGACGAGGCGAAATCCTCTTCCTCTCTGCAGAGTACACGTAATGTAACAAACCTGTCAAAACCTAGGCCTGTGAGAATTGCTAAACAGCAGTCACTGGTGGGAACATGCAATAAAACGGTTTCTGAAAGTGTACATGTGACAGAGCATGGGAAGGTTTCAGATCACATACAGTGGTTTAATCAGCTGTCATTAAATGAATCAAATAGAACAAAAGCAAAGTCACCCCTTAAGTTCCATCGTACTCCTGTCCGGCAGTCTGTTAGAAGAATTAACTCTTTGTTGGAGTATAGCAGACAACCCGTAAGGCAAAAGTTGACTTACCTTGGTGATGCTGCTTCTCCACTGGTGAAATCAATGAGCTGTGACAGCGCTCTTCCCTCTTGTACTGAAAATACATCAAAAGAATCTTCTATTTCATGTACCAGATTAGGTCCTAGAGAACAGAAGTCCATAAAGATGAAGAGGCATCCAGATTCTGGGAATGCTTCTCTTGGGTCTACTAAAGTTTGTAAGCCAGAGGTGATACCTGATGGTCAAGTTAAGGTTCCCTTGGAGGACCTGACCAATCATGATATATTAACGTCTGTTGTGAAGAATGATATGGGATTTTCTCCTGGGATGAAAAACAGAGTCCTTAGGAAACCATCAGAAAGGGAAAGAGCTTGGTACAAAGGTTCTCCAAAATGTCCTATAGCAAAGGCTCAACTACTGCCAACAAGCAAACCTATAGATTTGTGATTGGCAAATGCTGTACTTATCATGAATGTAAATAAAATTAGTAGTTGGTGATCCGACTTGCAGGATAATGTACACAGTAGCTTGTGGTGCAGGATGATTACTAAGCAATGGGTTTTCTCTGAAAACATCTTAATATCTCTGCACATATCATTACTTTGCTTTTCTTAATTATGGCAGTATTTAAACAATTTTTTGTGATCTCTTAGAGGTTACAGACAGTGTTGGCTGGATTTTTAAAAAAGTTTTTAAAAACTACATGATTTCCACTTTGTATGTGTGAGAGGAAGAGTGAAGCCAGTTTTGTCTACTTATTTCTCCAGGTCATGTAAGGTTTCTTGTAAAACCTACAGTGTAAAGGGAAAGAATAAGCCCCGCAGATCTTGCCTTCAATTATATGAATTCATTGTATTTACCAAAATCCCTAGAAAGTAAATTGCTTTAATAGTCTAATACTTTATTCCTGTTTGAGGCAGAATATTTTTTTTCATGTCTCCTGTTCCTGTCCAGTGTGTTTACTTGAACTAAACAACGGCTAAAGCAGAATGATCATGAAAATGTGCTCTTATGATGTAGAAGTAATTGATTACTTTTAAGCCATACTATGTTCTTAAAGGTAATTTGCACGGATGCATGTGTTTGTGTTTTGTTCAGTATAGAAATGAAATTATTTAAGGAGGACTAGTTAAACTTGAAAAAAATTAAGGTGATTTTTTTCTATGCAGATGCTTGATTTTAGAACTTGAATAGTTGATACACCTCTGTACATTTTACTCAGATAAAAACTTACCATGGTCTTGTGTGTAAATGTTATTTATTTAGTGAAGACATTAAAGATAACTTTCTGGAAAATCACCAGTCTGTGACTAATGAAATTCAAAATGACATTTGTAACTTGAAACAAATGGTCAAGCAAATCTGTCTAAATGTATATTTTAAGTTATTAGTTAGACATTGGAGCAAAACAGTAGGATTGCACATACGTGGAACAACCAGACTCACAACGTACAGTACATACATAGGAACAATTTTAAGTCGCCAGATGTGCTTTACAGACTTTTACTTGATAGTATATCAATTTTATTTCACAGCATTTTGCTGTTTTCTATATTCATTACCTGAGAATCAGTCCTTCCTCAAAACTGAGTACAGTGGTACCTTGGCTCAGGAACTTACTTTGTTCTGTGATTTTGGAAGAGATGGCCGTGTTTGTGTTTGAGTGGGAAAGATGGCCATAATCATGCCTGTCACCTGATGCAGCATTTACAAACAAACACGTTTGTGAACTGAGGTACAATGATATTTGACTTACATACAAAGACTAAAAATCTGCAGTTATAATTTCCTTTATCAGATATCAAAAAAAGGTTTATTACATAGACTAGATATGCATTTTGGGTGTTTATTGTAGTTTCCCCAGGTACTTTATTCATCTCTATTTTTAAAAAATAATGCTACAGATTGTACCAAATACTTAAAGCATCCTTACTCATAAATTTCTTTCAGTACTAGAGAAGCCACAAGATCCTGGGTTATAACCCCAGCACTGTCAAAAAACAGTCTGCATTTGCCTGGGAGTATGGTTTCTCTTCAGGCCAAAGTGGAACCTTACTTGATGGTTGGTGTGGATGTTAGAAATAACTGAGGAAAGCAAGTGTTCAAAATCTTCTGGTTCCCTCCTGGGTTTAGGGAAGCATCTCCTGCTTTCCTTGGGATGATGGCTGGCAGGGGGACTTTGCAGGTCTTCCTGAGCTGAAGGGGAGGACACCCCTTTCTGCGGGACTACTTGGTATTCTTGTGGGCTTAACACTAAAAGCCAAACCTTTGCAATTGTGCTTTCCCCTTGGTGCTCAGCCCTTGTGCTGTTTTTGTACAGTCCAAACTTGGCTGTGGATGTGTCCACTGTTCTAGGTTGGAGAAAAATCGAAACTACACCAGGAAGAAATTCATTTTCTTCCGTTCCTCAGTGACCTTGATGCGGGGTTTCAGGAGGCCTCAAATTTCTCTAAGACTCTCCCTAAGATAAAAGCTAGAGCACATGGGCAACCTGGATAAACCCCCTTGGAGAGGGACGCCTCCCAACCCCCCACACTACTCCCAGGTTCCACTCCGCACCGCCAGTCTCCTCTCCTGGATTTCTTTACTCAGTACCACACACTCCCACCCATTGCTACCAAGCTCTGCCCTCTCCACCTCCAGCTTTCACACTGCCTTCCAGACACTGCTTCCAGGTTTACTGCTGCGAGGTTAATAAGGCCCAGACACGGCCTTTTCTGTCCTCAGGGTTGAGATAAAGCTGGAAATTACTGCAGCTGTGTTCTTACATCTTGCCTGCAAACAGGTCCTCGCTTTTAAGAACCAATTCCACAGTCTCCTGCTTAGTCTTTTTGCTGTTCACTTTAAAATCGACAAACTACCAGAGCTGGACAGTTGAGCAGACCTGTCCTGTTAAGAAAACAAAAAACAATGTATTTGTAAGCTTCTGTAACAGAAGAAACAAAGGCCAATAGTATTTTTATGTAAAAGAACATACAGCTTTATGGACAAATATGCACCTTTTTGTTGCTTTAATGAAAACAACTAAAAGCTGACATTCGGTGGTCCTAGAGGTTTTCAAGTTATCGCTTTAACAAAAGTCTAGAATCTTGTGTTAAGTATCCCCAGTAAAAGAGCTCGAAGCAGTGTGTATACTGCTGCCACCGCTAAACGTCCTTAGGACTTCATCTGGTATCTCTTTCCCTTTTAAGCTAAAAGATTTAAAAGCAAAAGCCAAGCTGTTCTGGAGGTGACATTAAAGGCGGTGAGGCGCCTTGTCTAGATAATTGCTTGAGATGGATGGCTTCAGGGGTTGACAGAGAGTGAGTGTATCCAGGAGGTTTCACAGTCAAGAGGTTTACACTCGGATTGCGTGGTTTGAAATGTCCGGTGACGCCTGCCCAGAGAAACGCAGGCGCAGCTGGGATGCTGCTGGCAGCGCTGCGGGGGAGGAGCCACTTTCACCTGCTGGAGGCGGGGCGGGCGGGCTCCTGCGAGGGCCGTGACACAGGAGCTGTCCAGCTCCCAGCGCGCACACAGCAGGCCCAGACCGCACCAGGCTCCCTGCAGCCCGGGTGAGTACTGCGCGGGTGTGGGTTGACCCCCTGCGCCCACTGAAGGGAGCGAGGCCCTCGGGAGTGGGGGAGGTGCCCCGCCGAAAGCCTAGAGCTTGAGGCTGGGGTCAGACAAAGGAAGGTGGGGAATTTAGTGGTCAGGCGATAAATGGGAGGAAGGGAGTCTGGAGGAGGAAATTGGGTAGTTAGATCAGATCCGCATCAGCTGGGGCAAAAGGAAACGCTCCTGCTTTCCGAGCTGTAAGAGAAAGATGAGATGAGGGTGAGGGCTGCCATCTGCCTCTGGCCTTTTCATCACAACTGCAGATTTCACTGTTCCAACAAAGAGCTGTTCCCAGCTCTTTGAGGAGCAAGGTTTTATATCTGGGGGCAGCTAGAAGAAAACCTTTTCTTTGCAGACGAAATTGAGGGGTGTGAATATTTCAGTCTCAGCAAAGAAAATCCGTGGTTTTGCCTCATTCTCCTCTGATCTCCCAGCCCTGAGTAGAATTTCAAAAGGAGGCTTTGCGTGACTGCTGCCTGACACGTCGCAGCCGTCCTCAACAGGTTAACAGCCGCAGGGTCAGCTGCAAGAACAGGACCTCTTGTTCTGTAGGCATAGCCATGGGCACCCATACATAGATCCCCAGATGTTTGTTCCCCCTCCTTCCCTTGGTGTGTCTTTCACCACTACAGCTCTCCCAAACCCTACCCTCCAGAACGACAAGGCAATATTACCAGCACCATACTAGCTGTCCCGGGGCCTCACTGTGTGCTGTGGCGTAGTCCTAAGCTTATTTAGGTGTATTTGCACACATCGTCACAACAACCTTGTAAGCCAGATGTTTGTATTATCTGCTTTTTGCAAAAGAGACAGCTGAGGTGCTCACCTGTTCCTGCCAGATCACAGGACAGGGCCTGAGCTGTGTGGCTTTTCATTCCCCTCAGGATCTCCGTGGTATTGGTTGGGAAGTTGAAACACTCTCTGCCACCATGCCCACCTAAACGTTCTGTGCTTCTTTGTGTCTTCCTAACTGCTGCTCATTAGCCATTTCTTGCCTAAGACTGGGCAAACTCGAAATCCGACCCTTTCTCCAAATTAGAGGAAGTTTTTGTTTGCTTTGGTAAGCAAAGGAGAGAGTGGTGAAGTTAGAGGTAAACAGCCATCATCAAGAATTCAAATAATAACAAATGCTGGAGAGAATGTGGGGAAAAATGAATCCTTCTACATTGTTGGTGGGGATGTAAACTAGTACACAATTATGGAAATCAGTGTGGAGATTCCTCAAAAAACTAAAAATGGAAATTTCATTCAACCCAGCTATTCCCCTTCTAAGTATCTTCCTAAGGGAGCTAAGAAACATAAAGCATATGAGTGAGAACTGCCATTTCAGGGTCCCAGATTTACCAGGAATTCAAGTATGGAAAGAATTACATCTCAGACCATTTGGTTTTTATCATACCTTCCCTCTATGAGGTACTGCCTTACATGAACACTTGAGAGAAAAGCAAACCTCCAGGGATTTTTCACTGCTGTCTCTACTTAGGTGGCCCTTGAACAACAACCTACGGTGGTTACATGATTGCATCATCACAGCTGGTGTGATCAATGTAAATTTGGTCTTTCTCGCTAGGTTAAAAATGGTCTCCAGAATGGTCTCTGCCATGCTCTCTGGCCTACTATTTTGGCTGGCGTTTGGATGGACTCCAACTTTCGCTTATAGCCCACGGACTCCTGACCGCGTCTCAGAAACAGATATCCAGAGGCTGCTTCATGGTGTCATGGAGCAGTTGGGCATTGCCAGGCCGCGGGTAGAATATCCAGCTCACCAGGCCATGAATCTTGTGGGCCCGCAGAGTATCGAAGGTATTTATTGTGTTCTGACAGTGTGAAGTCTCCCTCTGCATTTTAAATCTCATAATTAGTACTTGAGACTGATTATGCTTGCTGCTTCTTCTACACAGTGCGAATATGCACCCCTCACCCGCCCACATGAGAATGTAAGTGCTGTGAGAGCAGTGCCCTTCTGTACCTAATTTGCAGCTGCAGCCTTAGCTTAGCACAAAGTCTGTTACATAACAGGTTGTTAGGGTTTGTATCTGGATTTCTCCCAAGAGCTTCATACATGCATTGGTGGGGCTTTTGGCAGGTGACTGAGTCATGGGGCACCACAGCTAAATGTGATGTTGTGGGGGGGTGGCTTGGTCAGAAGAGGCTCCTCTCTGGGCCGTGGTGACCTGGGAGGGTGTATTTTCTTCCCAGGCTGGTCCCTTTCCTCTCTGATTCCTGGCTGCCAACATGTGAGCAGCCTTTCCGCCCCTACTTCTCTCTACCGTCTTGCCTTGGAAGCCGCCAGCTATGGACTGAAAACATGAGCCAAAATGAACCTCTCCTCCTTTGTGTAGGGCTCGAATCAAAACAAATCAGGCAGGGCTTCCTGCCTTCCTTTTGGGGGAGAATCTAATATCTTCTCAGCTTCTGCCGCCTGTTGCTTCAAGCACATGATTCATTTCAGATCAGTTTCTCTGAGAGAATAAATATCTGCCCTTCTCCTGCAGGAAGTGCTTGGTGAATCACCTGGTGTTGTCATGGAGAAGGCTCTCTGAGGTTCCATTGATACCTGAGGCTTGGTCAGCTGTGCTAGGAGTGAAACAGGCCGTCTCTGGACACGAAAGCCTGTGTTTATCCAGGTTTCCATTTTATTCACTCAGTATCTACCTATTTGGCACGCACGCTCTGCAGGAGACTGAGACCAGCCTGCCCTA